AGAACTCATTGGATCTGTGTTGTATGGTCAGCCAGGTACCCTAGCGGTCGCGCATGCGCTGCAGCGCTTGCCACACGTACGATGCAAAGGTCAGCTGGGCAATCTCGCTCATCTGCGTCCCTGTGGGACCCCATGGGTCATTGCTTGTTGCACAAGCGGTAACCGTTAGTACGAGCATGGCGCGACGGCGGCGGACAGAGGATGAGGCACAAACCTTCTCGAACCTTCACCTGGGCGCTGGAGTACCCCTTGGTGACGTTCTTTGACGCTTCGGATGACCTTGGACATGCTGGGCGACTGGCGCGATGCTGTAGCAGGCTGCTACGTTTGGACCCGTCTCCGGATGTTGTGGGCTGTCGCAACGAGGAACAGCGGAGGTGAGGAGGTGGAGCAGAACGGGAGAGGGGGGAGAGAGCCAAGCTCCGTTCGGGGGCGACGGACGACGAGCTCGTGAAGTAACGGCGGCTGCCTGACCAGACAGCACGAGGACGGGAACGGAATGCATGCGGCGGCGAGGTTGCTGTTAGATAGACGCGACGAGATAGGTTGCGCGGTATAATGTTTTTGGTGCTGGTAGGATACGGATTGGGTTGGGTTTGTCGGAGATGAGGGTGCGGGCGGGTGTGCCGAGATGATATGGTGCGGTGAATAAGGTACCTCAATGTACGATTAGCTCTCGAACCGGGCGAAGGCGGCGGCGGCGGCGGCGGCAACAGGCGGGGCGGTGATACCTAGGCAATGCGATGGAAATCGAGGTTGGCGCGGAAGGCACAAACAGACGAAGAGGTTGTAGGTTGATGCGGCAGAGGCCACGCGGTTAGACGATTAGGTGTCGGAACCGTCACAGTGGGCGGCGAAGGGTACGTAATGTGGATGAGCGGGAGCAGATGAGTCGTCGTCCACCAGCAGCAGCAGCAACCAAGGTTTGTAGGTGGTCGAGGCGGGGGCAAGCACGACGGTAAAGGTGGGTTGGGTCTGTGAGGCTGTGCCTGTTGCCGGGATGGGCCTGGACTGGGCGCGAGATGACCTAGACAACCCCCTTTGGACAGACGGATGGGATGCTGCTAGTCTCGGGTGGGATGGTTCAGGATGATTCTTTTTGGAGGAAAGTAGGAAAAAAAAAATCGATGCAGTTTCGGGGCAATAGGAAAGGAAGTACCTCGAGAGGTGACGGCGGATAGTGATTGCACTGACGTGCGCTGATTCAAGGCCATGAGGTACCTCTACTTGGGTACCTTACCTTAGGTAGGTGCCTTACCTTGCCTACCTTAGGTAGGTACTTAGCACCTAGGTAGGTTCGTACCTGGCAGGTAGGCACCTAGCTTGCTGTTCTGGGTGCGTTACGTAGTGCCTCATGCCCATGCCGCCTTCGTCCCCACAACACGTCGTCCCAGCCTTCCTGCTTCTCTGCATGTGTGGCCAAGCTTGGATCTGCGTTCCCCACAACCTTACCTCAGCATCTGGCCTCGCCTGTTGTACTGAATATGGAGGCATCTGAACCTCGAAGGAAGGTGTCCCTGCATATCCACAACTCATGACCACGCCAGCAGTACGTTGATGATCCGAATATGAATTGTACAAGGCGTAGAAAAGTCTATATGCAACGACCTCAAGGTATCTCATTCGTGGTATCTTCGACTCCCATATCCCATATGAAAAAACAAAACGAAAAAAGATCATAGTTGGCAAGAAAACAGCAAATGGAATCCCCCACCACAATACTCCCATAGCTAGGCGCCTTGTCTACCTCCTCGGCCAACAGCACAACACCCGCAACCAGTACTTCCAGTCCTTCTTCTTCTTTTCCTCCTGCTTGTATCCCTCCTCCTGAATGTTGTGATTTCCCACAATCGTCAGGAAGACCTGGTCCAACGTCGTGGGCGTGACGCTGAAGTGCATGATGCCCAGCTCCTCCTTCATCTCCTCAAGCATGACCACCAGTTGCCCCACGGCGCTGTCTTCAACATCCTCGCTCGAACGCGTGATCTGCTGCTGGTCCCTGTGCCGCTCTCCGAACACAGCGACAGCCTCGCTTGCCGGCACCGCAAAACGCATCTGCCCGTGATACGTCTTGTCAAACTCGGCACCAGGGAAGCGCGCCTCCACCCACTGCCGGACCCGTTCCGTCTCCTCGGGCGACGTGTGAGGCGCGCTCTTGCTGATGAGATGCACGTGCAGTGCGTCACCGAAGCGGCGGCGCAGGTTTTCCGGCGTGCCCAGTGCCAGCATTCGCTTCGCCAAGATTCCAGCGCGGCCGGCGAGAGCGCCGGCCTCCTCCATACTATGCGTCGTCAGGAGGATGGACCGACCAGGAACGGTGGCGGCCAGCGTCTTCCACATGATGCGCTTGGCTGCCGCATCAAGGCCGGACGATGGTTCGTCGAGCAGCACCACGGTAGGATTGCCCATGAGGGCGATGCCCAGACTCAGCTTGCGCTTGTTGCCACCAGAGAGCGCGTGCGCCCTGGCGGTCTGAGAAGGCGCGCAAGCCGACCCGCATCGATGACGGCGTTGACATTGACGTCAATCTCGGGGATGCCGCGGATGGCGGGCGTAAAACTCAAGGTGCTCCCTGACAGTCATCTGGTCCAGCGCATCGTGTTGAGGGCAGACGCCGAGGCTGCCTCGGGCGGCCGCAAGGTTGGAAATGACCGACTTGTCCTCGATGAAGATGTCGCCGCCGTTATGGCTGGGCTTGAGGTCGCCGCGGATCAACGAGATCAGGGTACTCTTACCTGCGCCGTTCGGGCCCAGGCAGGCAAACACCTCGCCGCGCTTGATGCCGAACGTCACATTGTCCACTGCCGTGTTCTTGCCGAACGACTTGGTGACGTGCGTAACCTTGAGTCCGTCATCGCCGTTCTGCGTGCTCGTGACACGGGTCAGTTCCTTTGCCACTTCCTCATCTGTGGCCTCGGCGGCGTTCTGGTCCTTGGCCTTCTTCCGGAACAGGCCTGCGATGCTCGAGCCTGGTGACCCGCTGTCGCCCCAGAGCAGCACGCCGAACAGGATGATCGATTGCAGGATGAGATACAGGATGGGACCGCCATATTGGAGCATGCCACCCGGATTCGAGGCAACGACATCGCCGTCGCACGCAGTCGAGAAGAGGTTGAGAGCAAGGAGAAGCGACCGCGCTACCGAGCCGATGGGCGCAAATATCGAGACGATAAAGTGCACGAGCCGAAGAGTATCGTCGACGCGCTCGATAGGAGCAGCCGTGAAGCTGAAGAAATAGGCGATGATATACACCAGGAAAATGCCGGCCTGGAGCATCGCCGTTGTCGCGAAAGCAGCCAGCTGGGTCTTGCTCACAAGCGAGATGACGTATGCCAGCAGAATCGAAGCCAACCCATACAAGATGAAGATCAGGTAAATGAAGCCAATGTGGTACCAAATGTCAGACACCGCAGCCCAGGCGGCAACCATGATGGCTGACGCAACGAGGACAATGGAGAAGTCAAAGGCGATGTACGCCATCCACAGGGGCAGGGGTCGCACACCGTTGGAGTATTCCAGGCCGCGCACATGTCTGTGCCTCTCCAGGCTTGGGTACAA